AGTCTACCCACGCAGGTTAAATAAAGGATCCACTTTAGAATACCCTGTAGGTTACCCAAATCGATATGCATCTGAGGAAGGCCGAAGGGCACAACGACCGAAATGTTGGGATAAAAACAACAAAGATTAAGGAAATAGTCCGACTATAAATAGTATAGATAGTCGATATATTTGTTTCCAAAATTTTATTTCATCGCCCTGTCCTTGCCGTATAAGTATTTATTCACAGCGCCCCTAAACAAGAAACATTCAACAATTGCATATATATTCACGGGGTTGGATTTCTATATAATAATAATAATAATAATAATAATCAGAATTGTATTATGAAAGTAAAAAAGTATAAATACTACGTGCTAAGCATCAAAAATGTGGGCGAAAAGAAAGCATATATTTTCCTATTTGACTTTTCCTAGATCTTAGCAAATGACCACGTTCGTAATTGTTTTTTGTAGAAAGAAGAAAAATATAATAATAATAATAATAATAATAATAATAATAATAATAATAAAAGAATCAATGCTAATCTCCCAGACCTGGTGATCAATGTCCATAAAAACAGAATGTGTTTTTTTTTTTGTTTTCTTTTATTGATATGGCAATTCCTGCAGCCTGCAATGCAACTTTGAAGTTCTTCAAAGAACTATCAACATACAAAGATGTTGAAGAGTAAATCTCGAATATGACGATATATGAATACATCAATTATTCCAGTTGTAATTGGGGATTTCGATTTATAAAAGGTTCTGATAAACCCTTTGGATAGATACTTGATTGCCTTAAAACAATACAATACAATACTTACTATCTATCTATCTATCTATCTATCTATCTATCTATTTAGACAAATTTAGACATAGATATATATTCTCACAAGCACAGCTTGCATCCTACAAAGGTTTTTATTTATGCAAAATGTGTATGCGTTTTTATTTTTTACAAATGTTTTTTAAGCTTTTAATTATTTACTTTTTACATATGTGCATTGGAAAATGTCACGATGCCATTTCTAAACTTAGATCTCTGGCTGGGATCTGTATGTGTGAATGTAACCTCAATAGTCTGATTTTCAAAGATTCTTGCATTAATTACGATCATTTGGTTTTAAGTTCAATACCTTACGTGCAATTTTTCCCGCCATATACGAAAGCAATTTTTTCATAACTGCTAAATTCAACATTTTATCATCAGTTCTTCCTATACACGTAAGTATTTTTGTTAATCAATCATTTCTAAAGTGGATACTTCGGATATGAAATAAACGCCCCATTTTATATATTAAGAAGTGCGTATTATGTTTATCGGCCTACGCGTTAATCTTAGTAAATAAAAAGCGTTTTCCGATAGGGGCCACTTTTGTTTAATCCGGCTTACTTTACCGTTCGTCCACAAAGAATGTCACATCAAACAAGGTTATATTTTCTATTTCAATGAAGGCACATCTTCCCCTTCACTCAGATTATTTTCCCGCAAGTTTCACATCTGGTCAGTTTCGTATCCGAAACATGGACAAAGGCAATTTCTAAACAATAAATGGATTTATTATTAATCTAAACTTGTTATTAAAGCAATCATTATTATAGTGGATACTCCGTATTTGAAATAGACACGCCATTCTTTCATTATTAAACAGTGTATATTATGGCTATCGTCTTGTGAATCCAACAAATTTTAGTAAATTACTGCAGCCTATATTTCTTTTGTGAACAAGTAAATGGTTAAAGAAATAACAAAACAAGTTTGCAGATATATCATATATTAAAGAGTAAGTACAACAGAAGTGTATTACACGACTATTGAGTGTGTGTCGTTTGACCCAGCATTCAATCTTTTCGACTGTTCCCCTAAGGACTTCTCTCCTACTAATTTTATAGTAGGCAGAAGAGTTCAACATAGAATCTTTAGCAGGAGGGCACCACAACAATTTATGCGATGAGATATTCAAGTTAGTTATAATATTTACATTGTTCGGACTGTTGTCCTAATCGGTATTGTCGTATTCACGACATTTCTGCCACTGTACGCGCCGTCATTCTTCAGGTGATTGGAATTTCGAACTTAAGCATTTATTTTGTCCACCAGGGTAGATTGTTCTAGTTCCACATGCCATGCGTCTTCTCAGTTATCTCAACTCTACAAGATTTTTTCAGCACTGTAGTAGCCAGGTATTGAGCTCACAACTCTTTGGGTTAAGTCACTGGATCCAAACAACGCCTTTATCCACTGGGCCAGAAGGCCGGGGCATACAACGGCCGAAACGTCATGAATATGATAATTAAGATGAGGACAACAGTCCGAACAATGTAAATATTCAAAATAAATAAACGGTGGTGTTAACAGTTCGTTCGTATCCGAGGATTCCTGTTTACTAGGGCGGCTAGCCAATTTCCGTTGCAGATGCCGGCCTCGGCATATTTGTGTTTGTTCAACGCCCATAGAGCTAACCTTTGATTTTTATTGCAACTATACTAAGAGGAACTTTTTTGGCAGCCACTGGAAGTGAGCACATTATATGGCGTGATTACCAGTCTTAACAAAACCAATACAAACATCGTCGACTCTCAAATAGATCCGTTTCCTCCATTTCACTCAAAAGGCTTGTGTCAATCTATGGCATAATTTTCAGGCATATTCCATATATCTCCCACGGTATCCGGTAAATTGCTCGAAATCCATTGCTCGACAGTAAATTGCTCGAAATCAATTGCTCGACAGTTGCTCGAAATCAATTGCTCGAAATTGCTCGAAATCAAATTGCTCGACATTTGCTCGACAAAATTGCTCGAAATCAAATTCGACAGTAAATTGCTCGAAATCAATTGCTCGACAAAATTGCTCGAAATCAAATGCTCGAATTGCAAATTTGCTCGACAGTAAATTGCTCGAAATCAATTGCTCGACAGTAAATTGCAAATTTGCTCGACAAAATTGCTCGAAATCAATTGCTCGAAAACTAATTTCTCGAACTATCAATTGCTCGAAAGGCAGATTGCTCGAAACCTGTGGTTATAAAAATGAAACTACATTGTTTCTAATGTTTACTATAAGATAAAATAATACAACTTTATTGTTGTTAACTGAACAGTTAAAATTAAAGACCGAGTACATTTATAGAGCAGGTCTTATTTTTTTCTACATTGCTTTTTTGTCATAGTTTAAAATAAAGAGTACATTTTTATTATTACTGTTATTCTTCGTGATTTAAAAAATAAAAAATATAACTATTGTTGCTAATATTTTCTCTATTATTGTGAAATATTATATGCAACACTTCTTAAATATTCTTCAACATTGTTTGTTGTGTCATAGTTTGATACAATGTTCTTTAATCGAATTGCACAGTCACGGTACATTTTCTGTCCTCAGCTGAACTCACTCCTCCCACATATTGCTCTATTTAGTCCATCAATAAATTGAGTGTTGTGGCTCCTTTTATATCCAGCTCCGTTGACGTGTAGTGAGACGGCGCATTTTACATGGTGATTCGAGCTTTGAAATTACTTCAAGCAATCTGCCTTTCGAGCAATTGATAGCTCGGGAAATTATTTTTCGAGCAATCGATTTCGAGCAATTTACTGTCGAGCAATTGATTTCGAGCAATTTACCTAGATCCATCTCTCACGCTGGTATCGCCTCCTCAGATCGATATCATCAAGGAATATTTGGAAATAAATGTAACTCTAGGTATTGTTTGCGCAGAAGAAACGTTTCAAGTTAGATATAGCCGTATAATATTAGGGTACCTCAAGGCAGTGTAATAGTTAGCAAGTTTGTATCGCTAGAGCAAATGATGACTGAGTAGGGAGTTCGATCCTCACTGGGTTCCTCATACTTTCGGCCTTGTGCCACGTCTAAGGTACGCTTGGAAAATCGCTATAGCCGGGTAATATTAAAGACGGCGGGCAGAGCAAGAAAAGGAATAAAGAAAGAACTTGTGCACTAAACTTCCGATTTCCAACTCGTTTTGCTATTATCGCCGTATTTTTCTCTGATACTATATTAAGTCAAATAAACGCTATAAGATATTCGGTAAATAGATCCTAAACATAGTGTCATAAGTTACAGGAGCTATCAGTTATAACATGATAAAATGTTGACGATAGATGAAAGTCATTTTGAATGCTGCAAAATGATTTATTTTTGACGTATATATATATATATATATATATATATATATATATATATATATATATATATATATATATATATATATATATATATATATATTTAAATCCGATTCTGGTGAAGGAACAGGTGTTATTTGCGATTTGCATAAGCTACACGTTATCAAGATGTACTTGTACTTACGGAAGACATTTGTATTTTTAACTCTCAAAATCTTTCTTTTCCTTTCTAATATTTTCTACTTGACAAAACGTAAGAGTTGCGCATGAAAGCGTAATCCTTTCGGCTTTCCCGATTTTCATGCACATATTGGATTACTGGAATTTTTTAAGACATTTTTCTTTTTAACATTAGATGATCACCTTTATACATCGTTACTGCCCGCCAGTGGGCTCATATATCTCTTTAGTCCAAAGTTAATCGTATGTGACCCTACCGCAGGGAATATCTTTAAAGTAATAAACTCATATCTATATATGCCAGCAAAGTTGGATTTGAAAATATCCTTAGGGTGAAATTCCCGCTGTCGATAAGCAAGAAAATTGCCTCTTTACACTTAAAGAAGTTGTTTCTTTCTTTATATTTGATAATTTTCTATTTCTATTTTTGTTGAACGATTTACTATAGATATTTTTTTCCTTTCTTTTTTGTTTGCTTCTTAAATAGAAATTTGTTTTTCTTATCTACTTTTCTTTCCTGTCTCTTTCTTTCTGTTTCTTTCTTTCTAAGCTTTCATCTTCTTTCTTTACATTCTCCGTTTCAATATCTTCTTCTTCTTCTCTTTCTTTCTTTCTTTCTTCTTATTTTTTGCTTCTATTTCTTTGTTTTGCATTAATTTCTTTGATCCATTTTCTTATCACACTTCTGTCTTCCCTTACAGCCATGACACGTCGAAACACCGGTTCTCATACGATCACCAAAGTTAAGCAAGATCGAGTGTGGTTAGTATCTAGATGGGTGACCATCTTTGGAATACCAGGTGATGTAAGCTTGGATGCGCGACTAGTGTAATGAATAATTACATGGAATTGGCGATCTGAGAGCCGAGTTCAATTTTCAGTCGAGTTTGGTATATTCACTTACGCAAAAATACACTTGCGAAAGGTATCAATCAACCTATGTCCCCCAGCTATGGGTTAATTAGTAGAACCTCAAGCAATAAATTATTAATATTTCTAAATAACACTTGCAATCTAGAAATATTTTCTGGCTTTAGCTAATCCGCAAAATTTTGGTAGACCGTAAAAAATTCAATCCATGAAATATTTATAACGATTTCTCTTTATTTATGCATCAACTCACATTCATACTTCCTTTTTGTCTGTCTTTCTTAATATATCTTCATTCTTTTATTCTCTATTTCTCTTCATTCTTCCTTTCTTTTTATTTTTTCTTTCTTTCTTACTTTCTTCCTTAATATATATCTACACTTACATTCTTTCATTCGCAATATCTGCCCATACTATCTTTCTTTCGTTGTTTCTTACTTAATATCGCCTCACACCTCTTTTCTCTCTTTCTTCATTTCTTAATATCTCTTCCTTTCTTTCTTTCTTTCTTTCTTTCTTTCTTTCTTTCTTTCTTTCTTTCTTTCTTTCTTATTATATTTGCTTTTTTCTTTCTTTCTTATTATCTTTTCTTTTTTTTTTTTCTTTCTTTCTTTTTTTCTTTCTTTCTTTTTTTTTTCCATTTTTGATATCTCTTGTTTCTTTCTTTTTTCCATTTTTGATATGTCTCCTTTCTTTCTTTCTTTCTTTCTTTCTTTCTTTCTTCCTTTCTTTCTTTCTTTCTTTCTTTCTTTCTTCCTTCCTTTCTTTCTTTCTTTCTTTCTTTCTTTCTTTCTTTCTATCCTTTCTTTCTTTCTTTCTTTCTTATTATCTTTTCTTTTTTCTTTCTTTCTTATTATCTTTTCTTTCTTTTTTCTTTCTTTCTTTTTTTCTTTTTTCTTTCTTTCTTTCTTTTTTCCATTTTTGATATCTCTTGTTTCTTTCTTTTTTCCATTTTTGATATGTCTCCTTTCTTTCTTTCTTTCTTTCTTTTTCCTTTCTTTCTTTCTTTCTTCCTTCCTTTCTTTCTTTCTTTCTTTCTTCCTTTTCTTTCTTTCTTTCTTTCTTTCTTTCTTTCTTTCTTTCTTTCTTTCTTTCTTTCTATCCTTTCTTTCTTTCTTTCTTTCTTTCTTTCTTATTATCTTTTCTTTCTTTCTGTTTTCTTTCTTCTTATCTTTTCTTTCATTCTTTCTTTCTTATTATCTTTCTTTCTTTCTTTCTTTCTTTCTTTCTTAATATCAGCCCACACTTTCTTTCTCTCTTTCTTTCTTTCTTTCTTTCTTATTATCTTTTCTTTCTTTCTTTTTTCTTTCTTTATTCTTATCTTTTCTTTCATTCTTTCTTTCTTATTATTTTTCTTTCTTTCTTTCTTTCTTTCTTTCTTTCTTTCTTTCTTAATATCAGTCCACACTTTCTTTCTCTCTTTCTTCCATTCTTTCTTTCTTTTTTTCTTTCTTTCTTTCTTTCTTTCTTTCTTTCTTTCTTTCTTTCTTTCTTTCTTTCTTAATATCTCCACACACTTTCTTTATTTCTTTTTCCTTTCTTTACACGGTTCTTTTCCATATTTAATTTAATCATTTCATTTCTTTAATCCTTTTAATTTCTTATGACTTTTCTGTCTAATTATCCTTACCTTATAGGTTTTCCCTTTCCTATAAATCTTCTATATCTCACAACAACCAACTCCTTCCTCACTTCTACTAAACAAACGACAGATTCTCTTTTTTTCTTCTGCATTTTCTCTTCCCGCTTCTTATTGTTATTTTCGACATTTCTCGCCTCTTTTCTCTTTACATTTCTTCATATTTCTTAGCTTAGCTTTAGTCAATTTGATCCCAATTTAAGACAGTGTCCCTCCTTTTATTTCTCCCCGCTTCTATTCCTTCTCCTTCTCCTCCTCCATTCCCCCCTCTTCTTCTTCACCTCATTCTCTCTTCCTTCTACTCATTCACATAATTCTTTACTGTAATCTCTCTTTTATCGATTATATATATATATATATATATATATATATATATATGAAATTCTCGTTTTTTCTTCTTACTCCATCCCTCATTATCACTTCAGCATCCTTCTACTGGCCATTTCCATACTCACTTTCACTTCAGCCTCCGAAATTCCATCTCATTTTCTCCCCACCACCTTTTTTTTTTCTTTTTCCTTTCTCCCTTATAAACCTATTACCTGCAACATGAATAGATCCATCAGATAATCGCATTGCACTATTTTCTGTAGTATAATTTTGCGATGCATCAGGTGAACAACCCTGTAGCCATTTTCCCCAAGTTTTTCCCTCTGGGCATCTCAAAATAATGGCTTCACATATGCCGCTCTCTGAAGACGGTGAGTCGGCTGTTCATAAGCATTACAGCATTATGTGTTTTATGCGCAGCAAAGGAGGAGCTGCATTAGGATTGCCTCTGGTTTTCAATTAACTTCAGCACAGAAACGAGCTGGAAAAGAACACACATACAGTTATAATGTTAAATGTATTTGAACTGCCTGATAAATCCAGAATATATCATGACTCACTAACAACTGGTATCTTTGAAAGCATTTCAATGAAACCTACTCATGGATATGAAATTCATCCGGTAGCAAGGCCTCTGATTGGGAAATTGGAGGTTTTTAGGAGTATGGAACCACATCTTCATTAGCGTTGTTCTCAGATCCGCCCTAGCCCGGGGTGGTTGCACCTGTTAGGGACCCAGCTATCGACAAAGAGTAAACCTTCAAACAGAAACAAAACCCTATGAAAGTATAAATATAGATTTTATAGTAATATTATTAACAATACATTTTTATATATAAAAAATATAATTACCAACAATACACATATATATTAAAATTACCGACTATGCATCAATCAACATAAAGAAATAATAGTATTTACACTAGTCGGACTATTGTCCTCATCTTTGTCGCCATATTTGTCACAACGTTTCGGTCGTTGTACGCTCCGGCCTTCTTCAGAAATATAGACAGACTATAAAGAAACAATTTCATGATATTAATCCATATTTAATATCCGAAAATTTAAGTCAAATTGTATTGAAGAATACAACCTCAACAAAACTACAAATTATGACTCACATACCACTGCCTCTAGTTAATTATCTAGTAGTTACACAAACATGTATATGCACAAAAGTTGAGTATCACCTACCATGTATTCAATTGCGAGAGCAGAATTACATATATCACATTTTTATTGCTTAAAAACTCCCAAGGAAATGAAATTTCGGTATTAAATCACCCATAAGGAGTTGATATGCCATTAAACGATCAAATAAAATCAAATCAATGAAATCGACTAATCCACCCGTTTCATAGCAATGACATTTTATGATAAATAAAAAAAAATATTAATGACAGTGAATGTTTGATTTTTAGATGTGATTTTAAATAGTCATATTTTCAATGATTTTATTTAACAAGCTTGATAATAGTTATAAAACCGAGATAGTTGTTAAAAACCTGTTCCTCAGAGTTAGGGTGAAAGGAGATTTTTTTTTTTACTAATACTGACAGTTTCACTGAAGTGAGGATTGTGAACCATGTCTTATTCAGTTAATTCTTCTTGTAGTAAATGATTTTTTCTTTTTATTAACAAAATTATGAAAATTTTGTTAGAAACCAAGAATAGATTACTGACCTGATATGTAATATCGGTCCTTCTATATTGCACTAAATGTTGGACAAATTCTTCATGATGAAGAAAAGACTTAAGACATAAATGTAGTTATACAGGAGGATACTGAAAATACTGTGGACTGTAGCAAAAACGGAGTTTTATGAAAACTGAAACAATAAGTACACTTGTATTTAAAATCAGAATGTGTTTATTTAGGTAGCAAATTCTCTTTTAGGCATGTTGGATTAAATAAATTACAAACATTATGTCTGCTTATTGTTAGTATAATCCGTTGATATTCATGGATATTTTCTCGTTTATTACAATCAAATGATGTAGAAAAGCAAAAAAGCAAATCTTACTAAGAACGATGAAGTACAGGGTATAGTGAAGAATCATGATTGCCGACGTTGTGAAGAGACACAACACACAGAAGAAGAAGAAGAAGAAGAAGAAGAAGAAGAAGAAGAAGAAAAAGAAGAAAAAGAAGAAGACAAAGAAGAAAAAGAAAAAGAAGAAAAAGAAGAAAGAGAAAAAAAGAAGAAAAAGAAAAAAAGAAGAATGATAAAAAGTGACACGTTGTACACCTGCTAAATGACTATCCCGCAGATTTTGATCAATACTCTATGTACTCTAAGAAACTTCAAATGACTATGCACGATATTTTATATGCGATATTATATTGTGATATTTCAGCATCCCCGATAAGAAGTTAACGTTTGAAGTTATTCATCTTTCCCCGACAAAGATGTTACTTGTGATACAAATTTACATATAAACTCGTAGGCCTCCATGTATTCAGTACCAGATATTGTCACTTTCTGTGGCATTTCCCCTTTTGGAGTGCTTAAATCATCAGCGATTGGCTCACCTATTTAAGTGCAATGGGAAAAGTGAAGAATGTGTAGGCACCACGACTCAGTGTTAGACTAAAGTTTAGTTTAATGTCACAAGGCCTCATATATAAGGAATTTTAACACAATATATTCAGTGGTATATCTCTAATATCTGCATGTAAGAATCCTAATAAGTAACAATCATATATCCTCCTACATATGCTCACGATTCTTGCAAATGTTGCGTCCGCATATTTCTAAAGTTTCATTTTACCAAATAAAAAATTATTAATATTTAATTAGTGTTTGTTTCATTAGAAAATGCTTTGAAGTCCACACTTTCGCGAATGTTGTTAGATCGGAAAGAAATTCCTGTCGCATTTGAAGATTTAAATGAAACAAACGATTCTCTGGTATCAATATAATCGGTATAATATTTCCTTTCATTATCGGTAATATAATCACATATACGT